AGTTTTACGATCAAATTAAGAACTATTAAAGATTGTCAGAGATCCGTATAAAACCCTAGCCATGGTTACGCCGGTAGCTACACTGAGGTTTCAAGGTATTGATAAAAGTTGAATAGTTTGTTTTTCTATTCCCTAAGGGTTTCAAACCAAGCAGTGGTACAGTCCAAGAGCTGAATTTTCGCAGCATGAAGAATGTCTGGGGTTATTTTAGTGTAGCAGCGGCTGGAGGCCTTCATGAATTTGCGGACTCACAATTTGGACATTGCTTTGCTTGGGGAGAAGATAGAGAAGATGCAAGGAGGTAATTTTAAAAGTCATGCTTGAGAATCCATATCTCCTGCACTAAAAAAGTTGTAGCAAACAGTTTTTTTTGTTTAGGAAAATCTTTTATCACATTTTGTTGCCATGGTTCTAGCAGCTGATGATGATGATGGTGGGGATGATGATGATGATGATGATAATGATGATGGTGGTATTGGTGACGATGATGATGGTACTGATGATGATAATGGTAATGATGATGGTGATAACATTAATGATGGTGGTGATGGTGATGGTATGATGATGATGATGATGATGTGATGATGATGGTGATGGTAATGATGATGATGATGATGATGGTTAAATATGGTGGTGGTGGTGGTGCTGATGGTGGTAGTGGTGGTGATGATGAGAATGTTGTTGATGATGGCACTGTGGATGCGGAAATTTTTACATTAATTAATGGTCATCATTGCTATCAAACCTCTTTTCTTTTCTCTTTTGCTAGAAATCTTGTACTCGCACTAAAAGAGATCTCAATAAGAGGGGACTTCCGAACAACAGTTGAGTTCCTAATAAAACTTCTTCAGCAAGACTGTTTTTTGAACAACACTTTCAACACTGGCTGGCTTGATGGCTTGATTGCAGAAAGAGTCCAAGCAGAAAAACCAGATACCATCCTTGGAGTAATTTCCGGGGCTATTCACATAGCAGATGCTGCGATCTCAAAGAAATTTGCTCTCTTCAAAAATGCAATTGAAAGGTAACTCTTGGACCAAGTGACAAGACTCTTTGTTTCATGAGTTTATCTCACTCACGATCCCAGAGCTGGCATCTTGTTGGTTGGGGGTGCGCAGTAAGAATGACAGGGCTTTTGGGTTGAGATTGGAGTTTATCTACTTTATTCTAATTTGGTAAATCTTATAGAAAAATAATTTTTTGAAGCCTGATGTTATTTGCTTCTCTAGAGGGCAGATTCTACCAGAAGATTTTTTAGGAAATTCAGAAGATGTTGAAATCATTTACGAAGGCTTCAAGTATCGTATCAGGGTATGCTATTATTATTATTATTCACTGATCTAAAGTTAACTAAAGTTAGGTCATTGCGACCAACTGTAGCTAAAGTAAATGACATTAGCCGTTGACATTATTTTTATGTTATTATTTGGTTACCTAGGTTACAAGATCTGGCCCAGGATCATATTTTCTGAAGATGAACAATTCTACAGTAGAAGTTGATGCTCACAGGTACAGGAACAAGGAAATTCAGTGACCGTTATCCAATAAGTGTGTCACGGTAGCAGCTTGTTGGTAGAGTAGAGCCACCATAGAAGTGGTTTGTGTATGATTATGAAGGTCCCACTCAATGACACGGTCACGGCACGGTTGACAAGTGTGGCTGGGAGTTGAGATTGGACTGCATGGTACACATCAAGCTAAGGGAGGGGAGGGTAGAGAAAAGAGAGTTCCATTCCATTCTTCTCCTACCTAGATGTTTATAATTAAAACACCAATGATGACAAAATGGTAAATTTTATACCATGAAAAGATGAAAAATGAAAAAACTTAAACTCGGAGTAAAAGACGAAGGACCAGCGTCCGGAAACGTCAGTAAGTTTTTTCTTTTTTTCATCTTTTCATGGTATAAAATTTACCATTTTATCATTACTGTTTCATTAGTTTAATCAGATTCATCAACATTACACTGCAATACAGTTAAACTTCCCAAGAAAACATGCACGGTGGACAGATACGAGAGGTCAAGAGGCCGACAGGAGAAAAAAACAGGATGGTAGTCCCAACTGACATTTTCCCCCTATTAGAAACGCAGGACGCAGCTCACACTAGTTTTTAGCTAGTTATTTCGAATTAAATAACCGTTTCTGTTACAGAATGAGTGACTATGGCCTCCTGCTGTCTTTCAATGGAAGTAGTAACACGTCCTACATGAAGGAAGAGGTTTCCACGTAAGTCTTTAGTTCCAGATAGAAATTCCTTGAACTTGATGTGCTGGAAACAATGAAGCTTCTTCTAATATTTGGGAGCTCACCAAAACGCTTGCAACAAACTTTTTCTTGCTCAATTGAAATATGTGGAAAAGATACTGCAATAAGTACTGCGAGTGAGCTTATGATAAAAAATAGTTTGTTGATGTGTCAGGTAGCTCTTCTCACTCTGATGACCTTGAAAGTGAGTGTTCTTGGGCAGAAATATTTTGTTCCGTCCAAGATGACTGCCACATGTCAAAGGCTCATGTAAATGTAATGTGCTGTTGAGGTCTGAAATTATTTGATACTGAATCCGACTTCCCTGTCTTGTTCTGTTTCAGGTATCGTATGACGATAGGAAGCAAAACGTGTGTGTTCCAGAAAGAAAATGATCCCACTGTTCTGAGGTAAGATTGACAGCTGCCAATCATGTCTTTCTTCATAAAGTGGTAGGGGAGGGGTGGGAGATTGAGGCGTAGAAGAGAAAGTCTCACTCGGCTTGAAATCATACAATGATCAGCTTAGTTGTAATCAAGAGTAGTGTAGCCGCAGTTTAATAACCTCTCACCGTTGGTGTCTTGGATTCGATCCCCAAACTTGGCATCACATGTGAGTAGAGTTCATTAAGTCTCTCCTTTGATTCAAGGAGTTTTTGTCCAGGGTTTATAGTATTTCTCCCTCTGCAAAATCTAACACATAATTAAATTCAAATTCAATCCGTGAGTTAGCCTTGCCCTGACTATGATTAGCTCAGAGATTGTTTCAGGTATCAATCAAATTTGAAGGGTTTAGAGGTTAATATCGTTCCATTTGAATGTGCCCAAAAACAAGCGAAGGATCGAACAAACAGCTTTAAAAATAACAAACATTATTTTTCAGATCACCTTCTGCAGGGAAACTGATCAACTATCTTGTTGAAGACGGAGGCCATGTATTTCAAGGAGAATCGTACGCAGAAATTGAGGTACGTCAACCGTTAATAGTCCCTTACACAGTTTACTGTGCCATCGTGAAAGGTAGCCGTGCGTTTGCATCGAAGCGAGCCTAACGGTGAGCTTGCAATGATAGAGACATGTGAATAATTGTCCAAAGTGTTAAATAAGGTCTCTATCATTACAAGCTCACCATTCGTCTTGTTTCCATGGCACAGCTACCTTTCAAGATGGCGCAGGGAACTGTGAAGGGGACTATTAAAACCTCTTTACCTTGGGTGTAATATTTCCCAATTTAATACCATGTGTCATGTCATTCCATAGAGTGTCATTTGCACATTAAAAGTGCCAAGACACATTACACGTGGTCTGAAAAGGGGAGACACCACTACTGCACAGTTGCCAGGCCCTGAACAGATTACTTCATATTCCAATAAAAATCTCAATTAATCTTAATACTTATAGGTTATGAAGATGGTGATGCCATTGACTGTCCCTGAAAGTGGATGGTAAGTTTTAACTTTTTTTTTTCTCGACCTACTTTTCCTGCCTACTGTTTTTTTCTTTTTTTTTTCTTTTTTTGTTGTTGTTGTTGTTGTGTTTTTTTGTACGTTAGATTTTCTTGTTTCAATCGTCTTGGGGTTAAGATTCTTTTTTTGAGTGACTTGTATCATCTGCATCTGCACCAGTTTGAGATGTTGGAAATCACTCCGCCAAGGGTCATTGTTTCCTACGCTTCTATCGGGTTTTCTCAGCATCCCTATGTGTTTAGATCAGCGTATCTAATAAGGGAAAACTGTTTTCTATTATGTTGACGATAAACAACCTGGCATTTGAGAAGGAACGAAGGAATGAAATGCAAAGAAACTCTCAAATTTTATCCTTCCAAACCAAAGAAGCTAACGGTCTTGTTTTCTTTTCAGTGTTCACTTTGTTAAAAGCCCCGGTGCGGTTCTGGAACCAGGAACGTTCTTGGCCAATCTTGAACTGGATGATCCTAGTCAGGTCACTCAGGTTAGTGGTTAGAACTATGAAAATTAGGCTGCATTTACACGGTACCGGACGAATTTTTAAAATCAGTCAAAATTTTGACCTGTGCATATACCGTTTACACGGAACCGTAACAAATACGTTACACGAAACCGGTCTCAAATTTGCAGGGCTTGGCGTACGAATTTTTGCTCGGGTAGCTCAGTCCCGTGTGAACGGAACACCTAAACGTGCAACTCCGGTTAAAAGTCCGTCCGGTAACGCGTAAACGCAGCCCTACTCTCTTTGGTCTCTTCTGGTATTTATCATGTGGCCATTTTCTAAGCTTTTTCTATTATTCCTTTGATTCAATTGAAAGACCCATCTTTTTATTGATGAAGAATTACTTTTTTTGCCATTGCTTCCGCAGGCTGAAATTTACCGCAAGCCTTTCCCAGAATCGGAAGATGGTATTAAAGGGAAGGGAGTAAAAAGACACCAGGTAAAACACTAAATAATGATTACATGGACTAGATGATGATGGTGGTGATCACTGGTGAGGTGGTAATACTTATGTCTGACAACGATGGTGATTGGTGATAATGGCGATGATCAAAATGATTGTTGGTGGTGGTGGTGATAGTTCAATGATGAAAGTGGTGATGCTTATGACTGACAATGATGAAGATTGATGATGACGATGATGATGATGGCGATGATGATAGTTTTGATCAGGCTCCATAACGCTCATTTTGCTACTTATCGTCTCAGGTCTTCCGGAGGACTTACGAGAGCTTACAGCACATCATGGATGGATACTGTATAGATGAGCCGTACTTCTCCGAGAGAGTCAAAGAAAATGTAGGGTTGCTATTAAAGTGCTTAAGAGATCCTGCGTTACCTCTCTTACAACTACAGGAAATGATGGCATCCATATCAGGACGAATCCCTTCAACTGTGGAAGATTCCATTAAGAGACACCTTGCTAATTATGCCAGTAACCTGACGTCATTGCTTAATCAATTCCCAAGTCAACAGGTAAAAAGAGTGGCGCTTTTGTACACATTGCTATCTGTAGTGTACAGCAACACAATCATTAATTCAATGTAGCAGTGATAAAAACAATAGCAATAGCGACGACGGTGACGGTGACGTTGACAACAATGACAACGACAACTGCAGAGCAGCAACGTGAACTACAACAACAACAACAACCGTAGCAGCTGCAACAACAACAACAATATAACAGCAACAGAAATAACAACAGCAACTACAACAATTTTTGTTGTGAAGTGTGATCGTCCGGGTGAGTGTAGTACACTCTACACGATCACATTTCACAATAAACTTCAACACCTGGGTTCAAACCATTTACCCTTGATAACAATATTACTGCTTCTTTCTAGATTGCAAACGTGGTGGATGCTTATGCTGCCACGTTGACCAAAAGAGAAGAAAGAGATACCTTTTTCCTTAATACTCAAGGCATTGTGCAGCTTGTACAAAAGTATGTATAATGACCACACCTTGACTAAGTTTATTATACTAAAACGTGAGAAATCTGTTTTACGTATCCATGGTCATATATTCAAACAGCCCAAAAAGTCCTCAGCTGACCATTGACCAATTCTAAGATAGCGAACTTGGTTAATTTTTGAATAGCTTCGGTAAAATACTCCTTTTTTATTATTATTTTCATATGACGTTGATCAAAGCTAGACCACAATGAACCCTTGTTATCGAACTCAGAAAAGGCCTACTACATTTGTTAAAAACTGTGTCATTGCCTTTATTTTCTTCCCAATCCTTGTCCCAAAATAAAGAACCACAGGGCAGCGAAAATTAAACCCAGTTACTCATTCTAGATGTTAGATGTATTGTAGTGAGCTTAATTTTATAAACCTGTATGGACCCACTGACAATTCTCTTTTATCAAGGTATCGAAATGGAGTTCGTGGGCATCTCAAGGCAGTGGTTCTAGGGCTGCTGCGACAGTACTTACAAACTGAAATGCTGTTTAACGAAGGTGACAATCAAATGGAATATTCTTTCGTTCTTTATATATATATACATATATATACGGCCATTTGCAAAAAATTGTGGCCGCTTCCAATATATATACGAGTATATCAAAAGCATATCAGACACGGCGGGATATCTTTCTTGATATTTTTTTTAGAAAGCCCTAGTGTTAGACAACTCGAAAAATATGCTTTTGATATACTTGTATATAATTGGAAGCGGCCATATTTTTTGCAAATGGTTGTATATATGTATATATGTATTGTTTTTATGTTTCAATTCATTACGGTTAGAGTCGTTATATATGTTGGTAGACGCCAACCAAGACGTTTYCATGGCATTCCATAAGCACGTGCTCTTGAAAAATTCGCGTCTTCCAAAGATGTCATGGAAACGCTTTGATTGACATCCACCAAAACCCTATAATTCAAAATCCCYTGAGAAATAAATGACAATGAAACAGCCACCATTTTGCTTGATCTAACAAGAGAAGCTAATAATATTGCTTTGTTATCGTCAACCAACATGGCAGCTATGACAACGGCAAATAAATTGTACCATATTCCCTGTCTAATATTAAGAAGCCCTGCATGTTAAAGTATAACAATGTATTTTTCGTTTAATATTTAAATTAATTTTTGTCGCCCCTTCCGCACGCATCTGGATATTTTTGAAAACAGTGATTTTTTTGCGGATTGTCCTTCCTTCAACACGTATCCTATGAATACTCCACTTGAAAACGCAACTTTTCGAAAACGGATAGTTGTAGACGGGTGAAAACGGTTTTCAAAAACGCTATGTGTAGGCCTAATATTTTTATTTTATAAACGGAATAAAAAATTGTGGTATTTTATCGTGACAGGAAATTTCGAGAAATGCATAAACATGTTGCGTGACAAGCACAAGAAGAGTGACATGTCTTCAGTCATTTCAGCTGTGTTTTCTCATGCTAACGCCGCTAAGAAGAACACCTTGACTGTATTGCTTATCGTAAGTATCAAGTTCTGTTCTGTACCATTGTTTAATTTTCCCCTCGGAAATTTTATGCTCAACGAGAGCGGAACCGTAAAATTTATTGCCAATCTTTTGCTGCCTGGGCAAGTTTGTTAGAATTCTCCCTAGATTCGAAGTTTTTCTGGTTTTCCGCCCTCCGCAAAATCTAACATGCTAATTTCCAATTGGATCGGTGAGTTACCCATGTCCCTGACTTTGATCAGCCCATAGGTTGTTTCAGGGTTCGGTGTGTGAGTTAGCCATGCCCTGACTTAGATCAGCCCAGAGGTTGTTTCAGGGTTCGACCTGTGAGTTAGCAGTGACCTGACTTAGATCAGTTCAGAGGTTGTTTCAGGGTTCGACCTGTGAGTTAGCCATGCCCTGACTTAGATCAGCCCAGAGGTTGTTTCAGGGTTCAGTGTGCGAGTTAGCCATACCCTGATTTAGATCAGCCCAGAGGTCGTTTCAGGAATCGATCTGTGAGTTAGCCGTGCCCTTACTTAAATCACCCCAAACGTTTTAGGAGAGCACACGAGTATCAATATGGAGCTCATGCATCTCTTAAACTGCTATGCACAACTTTGCTATGAATTTGTGGTGTTGCGCAGGGTGTGAAAGTAAGAATATTTTGTGCAAATCAAGTGAGATTTCATGTTTTTTTTTGCAGGATCAACTTTGCGGACGTGAAGCGGGTCTTTCCGATGAACTTCACGATTTACTTCTGGAACTTACTTCCCTGAACAGACAAGAACATGTGAAGGTTGCTTTGAGGGCAAGACAGGTATRTTTGTTAGGATAGCGAAAGAGAGAGAGAGAAAGAGGGGGAGGGGCAAAGGCCGAGGCAGAGGAAGGGGAAGGGGCAGAGGCAGGGGCAGACGTAGAGGCCGAGGCAGAATCAGACGTAGAGGCAGACGTAGAGGCAGAGGCAGACATAGATGCAAAGGCAGACGTAGAGGCAGAGGCAGGGGCAAAAGTAGAGGCAGAGGCAGAGGCAGGCGTAGAGGCAGACGTATAGGCAGAGGCAGACGTAGAGGCAGGCGTAGAGGCAGGCGTACAGACAGGTGTACAGATAGAGGCGGACGTAGAGGCAGAGGCAGACGTAGAGGCAGAGGCAAACGTAGAGGCAGAGGCAGAGGCAGGCGTAGAGGCAGAGGCGGACGTAGAGGCAGAGGCAGACGTAGAGGCAGAGGCAAAGGTTTCTAGGAGGGATGATGGGATAACGAGAAAAGTTTTATTTATCTCTTGAAATAGATATATCTATAATCCTTTCTTCTTCAGCTAACTCTTGTCCCGTTTCGTAGGCATTGCTGGCTTCTCAACAGCCATCGTACGAACGCAGACATAACCAGATTGAGTCTCTGTTTCTGTCCGCTGTGGACATCATGGGGAACCAGTACGCTCCTGAGAATCTGCAGGTCAGAATAAACGTCTTTCTGCGACCCTTTTTAGTTTCAATATCTATAGATATTGCAAACTCCGACCGCTGTAAGTTTAATAGGCGAAAGCCAAAACACGAGTTGCCTGTTTTGCAGCAACCTACGTTCTCAAAAATCCGTTATTTTTTAGAAACTGATCTTTTCGGAGACAGCCATTTTCGATGTCCTTCCAAGTTTCTTCTATCATTCCAACGAGTCTGTCAGGACCGCTGCCTTAGAGGTTAGACATTTTCGTTTTATTTCCTCGTTTATACGGGAGAAATATGAAGTCCGTGTCTTAATTAGTATATGTAATAGGACTCCATGCTGTCCAATTAAGAAATAATTGGACGAGGAAAATTCCGAGGACTGACAAAATTGGATGAGGGCGTAGGCCGAGTCCAATTTGGCAGTCAGAGGAATTTTTCGAGTCTAATTATTTCTTGATTGGGGAGCATGAAATCCCATTACCTATTAATTATATAGCTGCCTAATTATTCCCATATCAACAAGACCTTCCAATTAAGAAAATAATTGACAGTTACCTATATGGGATTAATGAGAGGCTGTATAATTATTCATTTTATTGGCGTGTACTTTGATAGGTTTACGTTAGAAGAAGCTATCAAGCTTACCAGTTACACACTCTCTATCACGAACAGGTATGCTTTATTTAAAACTGCATGAAAATTATTTTGGAACACATAGAGTTATTTTCATATGAGTTGGAAACGATACGGCAATTTTTTTAGCCGTACTGTAGCTGTACTGTATCTTACCGTGACCGTAACTCAGCGTTGTGATTGGGTGCATTACTTGAAGACAATTTGAATCCATTTGAATGTTAGTGTATGTCGTAACGTATACGTGCTGTAAGCCACTACCTCACGTTTGGCACTCCATTACGATAATCATTCTTATGGGAGGACATTTCAATGTTACGGCATGTCGTACCGTGCACGTGCTGTAAGCCAGTACCTTAAATTTGGCACTCGCATAATATAACCATTCTCATGGGAAGCCATTTCAATGTTACGGCATGTGCTATCGCGTACGTGCGGTAAGTCAGTACCGTATGTTTCCCACTCATACGATAGCCTTTCTTATGGGAATCCATTTCAATGTTACAGCATGTCGTACCGTGCGCGTGTTGTTTGTCAGTATCGTATGTTTCCCACTCATATGATAACCATTCTTATAGTCATTCAGTCAATGTTCTGGCATGTCGTACCGTGTACGTATTGTAAGTCAGTACCTTTCCCACTCGTAAGATAACCGCTCTAACCTTCTCCAATATTTAATTTTTTTTCATTTTGTAGCTTTTGGATAAAGTTTCAATTATCGAGTTTCAATTTTCTTTGCCTTCTTCTCATCCAAATCGGTAAGTATTTAAACATTAGCACCGTTTGCTTGATTGGAATAAACCTTTTGCATCAAGCAGTCACATAGTAATATCAGTTTTGTTTCCACACTGTAGACAAGAAGAAGATTAAAGATGTTTATGATGATATTTTTTCCTCAGGTCTCTACATAAAGTGCCATCAAGTAAAACCATTCTTGCCATGCCCAGGGTAAGACTTTACATCCCTCAAGTGACAACCATGTGAAGATTAACAAACCGGCTCTTGGTGTTGCAGGGCACCTGAGGCATGAAGGCAATAAAATAATAGCCGAGAACAATGAGTTTGGAGCTAAATGTAATACCCTGCGATACAATAACCCGAACCCAGAATACAATACATTTTGCAACACCAAGAAAGGCCCGAAAAACCTTGTTTTACGCCGATGAATTATTAAGAAATATTGCGTTAACTAAATATGATGATGCATTAATCCTCTACTCTTCTCCGTCGTCGACTGGAGACTGACAAATCACGTGATGTTTGAAAAGTTAATAACATATTGTATTTTCGTGTTTGTTGATAGGTGCGCAGCTTGAGCGAAGATCTGTTTGATCTCGTTCATCATCAGTCTGAGCCTTGTAGCCGCACTGGTGTCATGGCTGCCTTTGAAACAATGGAAGACTTTGAAAGGTAAAAACATGATGATGATAGTGGTGATGAGTATAATTAATATTGATGACAATGATAATGGTGATAATTAAAAAAAAAAAAAAATTGCTGATTATTATCATGATGATACCTGATAATGATGGTGATCGAATGACGCTACTTGTAATGATGATTACGACGATAACTGCTGCCAATCTTGCACTGTAATCACACTGTCCAAGTATTTACGCAGCTGTCTTTAACATTGTCTCGTATTTAGGCATTTTGACTTGGTCATGGGGAGGTTCCAAGCACCAAACTTGGTTCCCAAGTCGCCCAAGCCGGGATTTAAACGATCGGGCTCTGGTTCATTAATGGAAGCAGAAATAAAAAAACAGGTAGATACAGATATATATATAGATATGTCTGATAAACAAAAGGCTGATAAAACAGCCATCCAAAATTCGGAGATTAGGAGCGAGACCGAGCCAAAGTTGAATAATATTTGGTTTTCATTTTATGTGGAACAGTTTATTAAAGTGCTACTCTGACGAAAATCGCTCAAACTTGGATTCAGCTGAAACTTCCTAAGAATACTCTTTAAAGGTCCAATAATCACTGTATGAAGTGTTTTAGCGATTTTCGTCAGAGTAGCACTTTAATATTTGAGTTAAAATACGTTTCCCTGAAAACCTTGACCATTTTTCGTGTTGGATGCGAAATTTTCCAGCGGTATTTTTTTTCTTGACGTATGATCTTGCGCATGCGCGTACTGTACTTTTTTTAGCCCTGCCTCTTTCGTGCTTCTTGATTGGTTGACTTTGTAGCTAATCAAAATCTCACAATTCTGCTTAATAAGCACATAATCTGCCTTCTATTGTGATTAGTTGAGACCGTAGCCAATCAAAATCCCATAATTATACTCAAGAAAACAGTCTATCTTCTGTTATGATTGGTTGAGGTTGTAGCCAATCAAACGTCCCAATTTCCACTGATACGATATTTCTGTCGTCTACAATGATTGGTTGATACTGTAGCGATCCCCACTAAAACAAATTAACCTATTGGTTTATTTTTCGATAGCAAAGTGGCTGTGAGGAAGAGCCAATCCACATCGTTAACATTGCTCTCATGATTGGAAAGAATCTCAACATGGACGAATGTCGTGAGGTTGTGTCACAGTTTACCATGCAAAAGGTATTTAAACAAAGTTGGCAGGAGAGTATATTAATGCAAAGCTGGAAATTCGCTAGATTTTTGAGTGCACTAAAGGCCAAGGGGAATCCAATGTGGAATATATTTAGTGCATTCGCTTTTCACCTCTAGGGTCTCAGTTGCAAGCATTCCCAACAAAGTCAAATGAAAAAAACATGGCGACCATCTCGGTGCAGTTAACAATGGATGCAAATGAGAAATCTTCTGTTATATGACACACCAACATGGCTGTGATGATGTAACGTTAAAATCGAAGAATTAGCAATTGATTGGTTTTGCTAAAGGAAGCTTTCGGCTGTGGCACATGCGTTAGTTTAAAAAGTTGATAGGGATCTTTCATCTCATATGGGTGGATTCTTTAAACTATTATGGAACTGAATGAAAGAAATGGAATGCGCTTATTTTCAGAAAGATGTGCTGAAGGAGAAGACAATCAGAAGAATTACATATTTGATATGTGATGGCAAGGTAGTGTTGAATAAAAATTCCACATGAAATGAATAGTTGAATGGTGCAATATTTCTTGATTTGAATGTTGCGTGTTTTAGTTTTGAAGATTCACTTCCAATATAGCTACCTATCTAGTCTAACTTTTAAGTTATCATAGGTAGCTTGTACTTTATGTATGTCATATTTCTCACAAATGTAAATATTTAAATATTGTTTTATATTAATAAGTACTGAATAAGATATTGATTGATTGATATATTAATGGCGTCATTTAAGCAATTTGAGTGTAATTGTTGTAATGCTGCATGGCCATTATGAGAAAACAAATTTACATTAACCTTCATGTATCAGTAAACCACGAGTTTGTGTGAACCAGTTCAATTTTGTATGTTAAATGAAGCCTTGTACTTGACGTCTTATATATATTTTTATTAATTATTATTTTTCGTTTCGCAGGGTTCATTCCCATGGTTCTTCACTTTTCGTGCCAAGGACGATGTATGTATTGAATATATTTGCATTTGAATCGAAAAATGTTTTATTGAAATATCATTGTCTAGTCTAGTCGGGTTAAATACTGTGTCGTAGAAACAACTATATAAGATTAAAAGAATAATAGTAGCAGCAAACCAGACAGCAGCAGCAGCAATAATCAATTACGAAAACAGCAACAACAACAGCAACAGCTACCACATCAATTGCAGCAGCAGCAGCAACAGCTACCACATCAATTGCAGCAGCAGCAGCAACAGCTACCACATCAATTGCAGCAACAAAAGCAGCAGTAACAACAACAGCATCCACATTCAGTTCTAACTTGCATTATGAAAAGGAACGTACTTTTTTCCCCTCATGCACAGTTTCAGTGTACATAAGTGGTTAGCTTTCTGAATTCTGTGTGAAATAAAGTTATCATTTTTATTATCATCATCATCATCATCATCATTATTATTATTATTATTATAACGTTTTTTCATATAACTTTTAGTTCGAGGAAGATCAAATCTATCGACATTTAGAGCCAGCTCTTGCCTTTCAACTCGAGATAAACCGCTTGAGGAATTTCGACCTCGAACTGATCTCTACAACCAACCACAACCTCCATCTTTACTTTGGCTCAGCTAAAAAGGTACTTTACTTTATTTTGATATGTTTAAAAAAATATCATACTATTTATCATCATTGTCGTCGTCATCATTATTGTCAAAAACTCATTTTCATCATCATCTCATAATAAGCATTATCGTTATTATTATCTTCTTCACGGCCACCTTTATCAACAACTCATCATCATTATAACATGCAAATCATTATCAACAATCACCATCACCACCACCACTACCACCATCATCATCATCTGCATTACAGTTACCATCATTATCATCATCCATCATCATCATCACCACAACTATCATTATCACCATCACCACCACCACCATCATTATCATCATCATATAATCATCATTATCATGACCATCACCATCACCACCGCCATAATCATCATCATCTGCATTACAGTTACCATCATTATCATCATCCATCATCATCATCACCACAACTATCATTATCATCATCACCACCAACACCATCATTATCATCATCATATAATCATCACCATCAATATCATGACCATCACTATCACCACCGCCATAATCATCATCATCTGCATTACAGTTACCATCATCATCATCCATCATCATCATCACCACAACTATCATTATCATCACCACCACCACCATCATTATCATCATCATCATCATATATATAATCATCACCATCATTATCATGACCATCACCATCATCACCAGCACCATAATCATCATCTGCATTACAGTTACGATCATTATGATTATCATCATCCATCATCATCACCATCACCACCGCCATCATCACAATCACCATCAACATCACCACCACTACCATCATCATCATCAGCAGTACACATCATCACAGAGTTCTCAGTGATATAATTCTCATTCTTTCTCCCTTCTCCACAGCTGAGTAACAAGACCGAGGTGACAGATTATCGCTTCTTCATTCGCACCATCGTCAGGCATTCGGATTTCATAACCAAGGTAGTACTAATATTTTGCAAGAGCCTTTCATGTGATGAATTTTCATTCAACTCTGACTCACCATCAATACATCATTAGGAAGCTTCGTTTGAGTACATGGAGAAAGAAAGTGAGATTCAGCTCTTGGAGGCTTTGGATCAACTGGAAGTGTCTTTCAGCGAAAGTGTAAGAAATATATTATCAATCTTCTACTTCTTCTACTTCTTCCTTCTTGCATGGGTATTTTGTTCGATTTCTTCCTTGATTGATTGCTTGCTTGTTTGTTTGCTTGTTTGCTTGTTTGTTTGTTTGCTTTCTTGCCTGCTTCTTCGTTACGTTAGTTACTTAGTTTGTTCGTTCATAGTATTTAACTCTTCTGGTGTTGTTCTCAAACTTGTCTGTCTCGGCCCAGTCTTATTCTTGGCTTCATTTCAGCCCAAAAGAACCGACTGTAATCATATATTCCTACACTTTGCTCCCTGCGTCATCATTGAACCCGATCGGGTGAGTACAACCACATAACCTGGCCTAGAGTTACTATGTACGTTTTCTACAACGCTAATATACTAATATAATGATTGTATTGATTTTTTTATTAGATCGAAGACAGTATTCGTCACATCGTCATGCGCTATGGGCGGAGACTCTGGGCATTGCGCGTCTTGCAGGCAGAAATTAAAGTTTCAATCAGGTGATTTGAACTTCCACAAAAGTTTACGCCAATAATGACAAGAAGTTGGTGTGTTGAATACAACGAGTGATAAGAAAGAACCTCAAATGCTGTGTAAAAATACTTCCCAATTCTACTGATTTTTGACGTCCTTCCTTGCTTCCTTGCTTCCTTCCTTCCTTGCTTCCTTCCTTCGTTCCTTCCTTCCTTCCTTCCTTCCTTCTTTTTTAAACGACCTTAATATGCTTTATCTCCATCAATATTTACTATAGTAWATCTTGCATGAAAACTATCGATATCTTTGGCTCGTTTTTTTTTTAAACTTGCTGCATTCATTCATTCGTTTGTTCGTTCGTTCCTTCGTTCGTTCGTTCCTTCCTTCCTTCCTTCCTTAGTTCCATCGTTCCTTCCTTCCTTCAATTTATAAATCCAAGACCTTTTAAAAAAATCAAGTGAAAAACCGATCCCATGAATGAGGTACATTGCTCTTTGTAATCGTTCTTCTCTTAGACTTACTCCAAATGGAAATGTGATTCCACTGAGRATGTTCATCTCTAACGAGTCTGGTTACTACCTGGACTTCTGTACGTACAAAGAAGTGGTGGACAGTCGAGGACAGGTAGAAATCAAAGACTGTAACTTTAATGGAACTTTTATCTTAGGCGTAATGATTTCCCATTCTTCACCACATGTCATTCCCTAGAGTATTATCTTTTTGTTTAACGCTTGCGCATCAGAAGGCACATGAATATGGATACGACTCAAACAAAGAATCGTATTCCCAAAAGAATGACACGCGGTCTGAAATGGGAAAATATTACGCACAAAATAAAGTAAGTCTATTGATAGAAGTCTTACATGTTGGTTATATATCTTTAGCATAATGGTTAGCATCTATTCATCGTTACCTCAATATAAATGTAATGTTTAGCATTATGTATGGTATCTAACTCGTAAAGCATCTTGGATTAAGTTTCCTCCCGGAAATAAAAATGATTTCTTCGTTTGGGTGCGCTGTTYGTGCAAGAATACGCCTCATTTGCGATACTCATTTACATTCAAAGATCTAACAAATTTGTTATTACTGCAGATGGTGTTCGAAACCTACGGATCCAAAAGAGGCCCACTTCAAGGGTTACCCACCATCACCCCCTATGTCACCAAAGACCATTTGCAGGTTAGTCTTAATTAAATGGGGTGATCCCGGCTATGCTTGAGTCTTGATGTACCTTTACAATGCATGAGGTTGAAGATCTACATTATTTTCTAGCTGAAGCGATTCAAGGCTCAGTCTCTTGGTACGACCTATGTCTACGACTTCCCAGAGCTCTTCCGTCAGGTACTTTCCCATTCACGCTATTTGTGAATTATTTTCAAAATGTACCAAATGACTGTTTAAGTTATATATTTTTCCCCCTTTTTATAACCTGAAGGCTGTCGTGAAAATGTGGAAAAAATGGGCAAAATATTCTGTTGAAGAAGTGGAAACACCACGTGATCCGGTGAGTATGTGACAGAGTTACTTCTTTCTCTTTCTTGTTCTCTCGCTCGCTCTGTTAGTAACCTCCCTCCCTCCTTTCCTTGTTTCCTTGCTTCCTTGTTTCCTTGTTTCCTTGTTTTCTTGTTTTGTTGCTTCGTTGCTTCATTGCTTGCTTCGTGTTTCGTCCCTTCGTTCCTTACTTCCTTGCTTCCTTGCTTTCCCCTTGCTTCCT